TTATAAGCCTTCCAGAACCAATGAAAACCTACTAACATAGCAAGAAAAACACAGAACACACATATCAGAGCTACCCTCGACGGTAAACTCGTATCATATATGTGAATCCCAGGTCACAATGATATAGCAGGCAACGTACACGAGGACAAGGCCGAAAGACTTGCTCACTGGTCCAATAACTTCCTTACAACCTTGGACTTCTTATACCAGGACGCAAAAAGAACCATAACCAAAGACATTCACGACCAATGGGAAAATTAATGGGCAAAATTATCAAAAAAACTGCACGAGATTAAAAKAATTACTTTCCCTTGGGTTTTCTCCGAAAATATCACCAGGAAACAGGAGACTGCCATCACCCGTCTTAGGATAGGGCCACATCATCCATCAGCACTTCATGAAGATAGTTTGCACCAGTTGTGGTGCGCGTTTAACCGTCAAACACATCCTCTTGGAATAACGGATATATGAAAAGGATAAGAGAGATGCAGCCCTGTCTGATSAACTTTCGGAGTTACTTAACCCTGACCTATGCAACGTTGAATGTACTTTAGAATATATTCATAATTCAAAACTAATAAGTAAAATTTAATTATCTGACTATTTTTAACATGTATCTTTCAATCGCATATTTTATCATAATTAACTAATAATGTATAGTAGTATTAATTAATGTAAATAATGTCAATCCAATGGCCTCAGCAAGAATATTAAACGTCAGTACAAACCAAATAATTTTTTATAATGATATCTTTAATAGTTCCTACATAATATGTCTGTAGCCATGTAAGTGGGTAACCCTAAGGTATCTGTAGGTACATTACAATATTGCATTGTTGTTTAGACATAAAAACATCGTAGTCACTCTTCGTTTTAAACAACATTCTGCATGCTAACATTTTGATAAACTAAAACTACACAATATAATGTTATATTAACAAAAGAAATACTAACCATATTTTGAATTAAAGGTTCGAATGACGGCCAACAAATAATTATGATATGGATTTTTTACATGTATGAAATTATTATATAATTAATAAATTATTCTATGCTGATAATATAATATAGGCACATAGAACAGTATTGCAACAATTATTAACCTATGACCACTTAGCAAATGTGCAGGTATAGCTTGAAAAAAAGTTTATTGATATTACTTTWAAAAAAAWAATATTCATTGATGTTTTTTTTTTACTTATCCATTTATTGATAATAGTTAATTACTGAGCGGACTCAATACAGCAAATAAAACATAATATTACAACTTATTAGTTTATATATTATTGTATAATGTAAGACATTACCAATTAGTTAATAACAATACAGTATTATAAAAATATATTATTCATGATCAAAAGGTATAATTTTTATTTTTATTTTTTTGATAAAGCATAACAATAATAACTTAGTGGCAATGATAATCGAATACAATACGCATCACGAAATATTGTTATGACGAAGTGCAAATAAAATATAAAACTAACGGAAAAATGAAAATCACTAAAACATACTAAAATCCGAACTCGTGCATTTTTATACCTAATCGGTAAATCATAAAACATAAATTAGAATTAGAATTAGAATTATAAACAAAATTATAGAACATACTGTTTAATATATTGGTAGGTGCTGATTTTTAGAATAATTAGCAACAAAGTCAGCCAAGGCGTTCTAAGATTTTCGAGTACATACTATCGATATYTGATAAATATTGTTGGATTTCATAGTCACTTATTGCGGTCTGTTTTCCGTTGTCGGCGTAGTTGTTGGCTGAGCCGTAGTTGGCCGGCCCGTTGTTGACCGTACCAACGGCTATGATACCGTTTTTAGCATTACTATCGGAGATCGTGCCTTTGTTGATGGTACCGTTGTTGATGTTGTGCATCTCCATATTACCGTTGTTGAGTACACCGTCCTCCACATAACCTTTCTTCACAATCCCGAGGTTGTCCGAACCCGCGCTCACGATGTCATGGTTGAATTTTGTTTTGTCTGCAGACTGACCGTTTTCGACTCCGTTTTTAAAGCTCATGTTGTTGTTATTTTCGTTGTCCGAGTAGCCGGTCGGTGCCTGATTGTCGTCTGCTGGGCGCGTACTCTCTGGGTAACAGCTGGTGGTCGTGACGGGTTCGTAGTTCTGGCCGGAGGTCCCGCTGTCCATTGCGTGGTTCTGTCTTAAATATTAAGATAAACTGTTTATTAACACATACAAAAACCCACAAGATATACATCAACAATATATGAAATGCATTTAAAAAAWATAATCTTTTGCAAAATTATAATGTCACATACTATAATATTTGAATGGACAACCATAACCAACTGTGTGACGGAGAGAGGACCTGTTGCCGTATCCTGCTGGCTTGCGCCGTTTTACCATCATCTCACAGGAAGGCACATGGCACCCTTCCCTTCGCAACGAGCCCTCATCCCACCGGAAAGTCGTACCCGGGCACCCTGGCGCTAGACGGATATAGCGAGTCCCCGGCAACTCATTTAAGGCCGATATTTGTGTTTCAAGCGACTCGACGGGGTGGTCGGGAGTGAACCGCTCGCGACCTATCTCCTTCTAATAAGACGATACCACCACAACCCCCGTGAGGCCATCCACAAAGCCCCGGGCGTGCGATGGCCGGACGCGACGACAGCCGACAAGTYGTGGTGACGCGCGCGGCCACCGTACGTTCGGCACAAAGCTAGTCTGACTCCACTCATCCACGCGACCCAGTGGTTGGATGGAATGAGCGAAGGGGCTGCTCCAGAATCTCGCGGGATGGGATTTTGAGAGATTTTAATGGACAATTAAATGGTTGATAAAATAATAAAATAATAATAATTAATAAGTAACTACGTAAACTTCAAGAAAACAATTGATTAATTTTTAGTGAATTTGTTTAATATTGTGGAATAAATTTTATCGATATTATTTACATACTGATTGATGTCGTGACKGTCAGAGGCCAACATAGTTCCTGTGTTGTTGTTACTGTGGGCTGTACCGTAATTAACCGGTCCGTTGTTGGTCGTTCCGACGTTGATAATACCATTATCAGTATTAGCGTTTTTAATGGTACCTTTGTTGAGGTTAATATTGTCAGTGTTCATGGCTTTCATTAAACCGTTGTTTAAAATGCCATCTTCGACCATGCCTCTTTTTGTGCTATATTTGTTGTGAGAACCTGTGCTGACAACATCACTGTTAAAATCGTTATTACCACCGCCTGTCCCATCATTTGAATTGTTTTTCAGTGTTATTGTGTTGTTATTGACACCATCATCGGCTACCTTCTGGGCAAYGGTTTGTCTAGTGGCATCTTTTCCATTTGAACGGCTTAGAACTATTCTGTTGTCGGTAACAGGCTCGGTGGGTTTACGGTAAGCGTCTGTAGAACGCTCGTTTTCGGGATGGTGGCTGGTGGTCGTGACGGGTTCATAGTGCTGGCCGGAGGTCTCGCTGTCCAGTGCGTGGTTCTGTCTGTCTAGTTTTTGCACTGCGTAGTTTTTGGGAGCTTTGGTATTGGATTTGTCACCGGTGGCAGGCGTACTGTTGAGTGATTTTGATTGGTGGTCGGCATTGACATCGTGCTGGTCCGGAGAACGGTTTGTGGAGTCGATCTGGGCCCGTCCATTAGTGGGCCGTTTGTCGTCGGTGTCTCCCGACTGCGGTTTGACATTTATGGTGGCACTATTGATTGTGCCGTTGTTGATGTTGTAATACTTTGTCGTATTGTAGTTTACGGTATTGTTGTTATTAACGATGGCAGTGGGTACAGCACTACCTTCATCATATTTCGGAGGGCTTTTCTCTTTCGTTGGAGTGAGGTCAATCCGACACAGTTCCTTGTTGTCTTCTATTATGGTGGTCACCGACTTGTACTCTTTGGATTCGTCGTCGGAAACACTGACCGCCTCGTACTGGTAAACGTCCTCGTAGTACTCGGTAGTGTACTGTGTGAGCACCTGGGTGATCTTGGTCACGGCCATCCGCACTGACACTTTCCCATCGCCGAGCTGTACTTTGACCTGTTCGAGCACCAGCAGATGATCGACGGAYACACACTTGAGCCCATCGTTACAGGCTTTCTTGAGCTGCACCAGTTCTTGGTCGGACAGTTTTTCMAGCGATTTTTCATCGTTCGTGTCGTCCAACTCGTAAGGCGAGTTTATCGTCAGCGACCGTTTCTTGATCTCCTCCCAAATAGTCGAGCTCTTGATCGCTATCACGAATTTCAAGTTGGACGATCGGTCGTTTATGTCCATGATCTGCGCAGTTTTTTCTGATTGCATTACGGTTTCGTCTTCTTTTACGTACGTCATCTGTTTTGGTGACGGACCGGATGGAAGTCCGAGCACCGAGGACATGGCCAACGCCGACACCAACGCGAACATGAAAATCATTTTCATCGTTGGCGTGAATACGATAACAGAAAATATATATGTTATTAAAGAATGGATAACCTTCCGATAGGAAGGTAAAAAATGYATTGATAGTATTTGCTAGTTTTCAGTAGTTTTGTTCAAAGTGTTTTGGATGACACATTAACTTTACATGTGTTGTATGTTTGCTCAATTGTTCTAAAGACTTACCAAACAAACAATGTTTGGTTGTTTGCTGCTTGAAACTTTTAAAAGAAACACGTAAGAATTTAAATGAAAGTAAAATGAACATCATTATACACAATATTTTATTCTAAGGCATACTATAACCTATATAAAATTAAAAAATTGATATATTGATATCCTTTGTCACCGGAGTTACAGTATATTTATAATAATTATTGGAGGAGTATTGAAGACAACATAGAACTCAATTTATATAGGTATATGTACATTTTATGTTTTTTTTTTTTATCAAAATCAACTGATTTAAACAATTATTTTTATTTTCAACTATGTTATGCCAAATAAAGTCAAACAGTTGTTTTTATACCTACGCATAACTAGTTGTTTTGTAAATTATTCAAAATGTTTAAGTATGGTATTTTTCAAATGTGTACTAATAGTTTACCTATATAAAATTTGAAAATTTATATATTTACATCCTTTGACACCAAAGTTACAGTATATTTATAATAATTATTGGATTTTATCGTCCAATATCTAAGGCGTGTTTATTGTCAGCGATCGTTGTTTGATCTTCGCCCAAATACTCGAGCTCTTGATCACCATCACGAATTTCAAGTTGGACAAATAGTTATCTATGGCCATGATTTACGCCATTTCTTCTGATTTTATTACAGTTTTGTCTTTATTTTCGTACGTCGTCTGCTTCGATGTTGGGCCAGACGAACGTCCAAGCACTGAACAACATTTTTAACGTTGGGCATTGACGTAAAAAAACGATTTTCGAATTAGGTTAGATTTAAACCTGTGTGGATGGGTTTCTCTACCTGCAGTTGATAAGTATTTGGAATTCGATACGTGTTATTTTATAATGTCTGTTCCTAACGGTTCGAACCAGATAAATTGAACACAATACACAACCTGTAAGTTTACACGAGTGCTCTTATGACTTTTCGTTTTTTTGCAAAACAACATTACGTACTAATTTTACACGATTGTAACCCGTTTAAAGGAACTAACCTAGGTAGTCTACATATTATAGAAAAATCGTTATAATCATCGTTTTTGTTATAATGGTTTAGATTGCGTTTAATGTTGATTATTATTCATTTTGTGCTAACTGATATGGAAAATATTATTTTTTTTCGCAATTAATAGAATTGAATTTATATTATTCAGTTTCATACTTAATTTTTACTCGCACCGGAATCACACGTTGACATTGTATTAATTTATCGAGTACCTGCTCAAAAACCTATTATCAACGCTTATCAATAATAAAATATAATCAATTGTTCTTTGATACCGGAGGTTTGGTAAGTATATATTCTATTTTGATTCGTAGAAGTCTTGTAACAAGTATTATCATTATTCATATTGTAATTCACATCATGTTATTATTGTTTTGTTATACATGATTAATGATTTCATTCCTCTAATTTATTGTAGTTGTGTATTATAAAGAACCAAATAAGACCATCTTGAATTAATAAATCATACACATTAAGGGATTTTATTACTTTTAATTTTCTTTAAAATTGTTCTCTAAATTCTAATCTACCAAAACTTAAATTGTTTTTTAATCCTAGTAGTTGACTATTTAGACTATTGAGACTAATTTATTTATTCTTCAAGTAGATAAAGGAACAAGTTTGTACTGTGCCAATGAATACAATAATTATATATATTTATTATTTTTTTACAATTACATATAAAATTTTTAAAAAAAACACACAAATTATTTGTGTCGAAAACTATACTGTATTCATTTTCGTAAAGATTTGAGTTGATATGTAGGTACTTAATAAGTCAGGAGGTACGTTACACCAGCACCACAACCTAAGATTTTTTATTTTAAATTGGTTCCATGATTTAGTAACCGATTCGTAACCATTCTTAACCACATAGTTGGAATTCGTAACCTAAACCAAGCACCAGAAAAACTATTTATCTCAACCGGGTGCTGGTGTAACGTTACGTCAGCACCCGGACCTTTTAGAATAAGCTATGAATAACGCTAATTATTTAATAATAATATTTTTAAGATATTATAGTATATAATATATAATACGTATTGCTAAAATAAATTAACACGTAATGACATCATAACACACATTAGGTAGGTATATATTATCATCGAAATTGTAACATATGTTACGCTTGAATTTTGTATGAAAGTATACCTACGTATAATGTAAACACGGAAGAACAACTTTTCTTTTTGACTAAAATGTTTAGACTCCTAAACTTTTACGTGCATGATGGATACTAATGAATGTTTAAAATAGAAAAAACTAAAAACTAAAAGTTACAATGATCACGTACCTACATATCAAATTTGAAACAATTTACGAGAGCCCTTTCTCTTATCTATTTGGTAGCTACCTCTCCACTACTGGTTATAACTCTGATGAATATCGTAAATAAATGTTTTTTTGGTAGTTAGATCAAATGGCATGTACAGCAACCTTAAATTGTATTTATATAGGTATACTATATAATATATGTATATAAATGCGATACTGTTGTAAAATATATTGGAAATTCAATAACGTTTCAACACATGCACAATATAGAAATTCAATCAAGTGTTTCCAATCAATTTCATATTATACCCCTTGTTTTTCTGAATTTATAAGTAATAAAGTTAGTTCAATATTAAATGTTCTGCAGCAGTTTACCAAACAAAATAAATATTAACTTGTAACCATTGGTATTAAGTAGCGCACAAGACGTAACTTCATCTCAATTGCTGAAGCTATAATGATTAACACCTTCTTACCTACTTTGTAAAATAAAAGATGTGTCAATTCTTTAGACAATAATCAACCATAATATTATATTGTTCGCGTTATTGTTAAATTTCTAAAAATTTGACCTCTGTCCGTGATTATACCTCGGTAAACTGTAGGTAATACGGTAATACATTTTCATTTCAATAGTTAATCATTAGCTATGTTTTTGTGGTTGGAACGTCTTTCAAATAGTTAAATGTACTACTAATTATTTAAAATTTAAATGGATAAAATGGATAGAAACATATTTCCAATGTACATTGTTATATAATATTTGTAATTTTTACAATTAATTACTAATTAATTTCAATAAAAGCGATCTTTAGTTACGTACTTTTACATGTATCATGTATACATACATATTATACATTATGTTCATCTTTCACTTAAAACTATTACCTTAACAAACTATATTTTAATTAATGTGAGTAGATACCTTAATTCCTAGTTTGCTTTACATAGATGTCAAAATATCTAATAAATAAATATAGATATTGTGTATGTTCTTCCGAGTCTCATAATACTTCCAATTTCTAAAGTGCAAAATTTRTGATAAACTATACGAGCAATATAATATTAAATATTTTATAATTTTAAATTCCCATTGATTTCCGAACTATCTACCAACACTATTCCTGGTGACCCCAGAAGGCGTCTAAAACGTACCTGGTGTCGTGACCTACTAATCTAAAATTGTTTATACCTCTATCTYCCTTAATTTTRTAATCACACCCTCTCCTACTAGCAAACTAAAATCCTAGCCTAAAATCCTAACCTTAAGTGCCTCCAATGGGCGGTTTCTTATTTCCAGCCTCTCAAAAACCATATCACCTCCATCACATGCACTTATTGTAAAACAACATTTACAGATTGTGTATATTTAAATAAACGTTAAAAAAAAAAAAAAAAAATTCCCATTGACAATAATTATAGTTAACATTCAAATGCATGAAATACGTTCTATTCATTTATATTAACTATTAAAATATAGATTATAAAAAAATTTCCATTTAATATTATTAATTTCTAAATTAAATATTCTATCAATAAACTCGTGTATAAACTATAGTCATATAAATTATTTTTATTACTCAAATCACCAACTTACTGCATAATAAAAAAAAATAACAACTAATGGATTAATAACAAAAAAAAATAGTTTTTCTCATATTCCATATGGTGAATAAGAGTTAAGACTTAGACCATATCATATACTTATAAACAGTGGCGTACGCAGTGGCAGAGTTCTAGGGTTCTGAACCCCCCTGAAATCTCCTCTTTTAAAAAAAATCTTATTTATCACCTTTTTAATACACAGAGTTGATRAAATTGTGGTAATTTTTAATAGATTTAATATAAATTGTTAAATGTATTAATAATTATAATTTGTTACATAACTAATTATACAAAAACTTTTTAACAAAAAATAATGTAAATTATTTACTTATGTAAAACCCTGACCGAACTAAAATCCTACGTACGCTACTGCTTGCAAAATTTCGTCGTTTTATTTTTTTTCTGCACCTTAAATAAAATTATTATTATTATTATCATAAATAAATCGGACTGGCTAAATTACAATGAAAGATAAATGGAATATTAAATATATTATGAGGGCTAGCTAACTTATTGTAACGATTATATAATATTACTTATTAGTTATTAGAGTTGATATTTCACTTTTTTTTGGAATCATAACTTCATACGGCTTTTCTTGTTTACGATTATCCAACAAATAACATTATCAATATATTATAATATCAAAAATCCATAACACAAGTATATCGAACGTACGAAGTTCTTTTATTCTCACGAATGTTAATAAAATAGTTAATGACTTTATTTTGATTTATTTTGAGGGTTTCAAAAAGCATGACTTTCATTTATTGATATTTAATAAAAATTTAAAATATATAGCAACTATGTAATAATTATATTTATGGTTACAGATAGATGATTATCACTAACTATAGAAATTTTCAGAAAAAAAAACAGACCTAATATTTTTTTCTCTGATAATAACCCTGAAAGTGAGTATAATAACGTTTCATGATAAAAAAATACATATTATAAAAACTCAACTTAAATTCCATAATCAAATAAAATTAACAAATTATGTAAT